TGGTGCTGCCAAGGCAGCCAAGACCTTTGTAAAAGTTCTGGGAGCTGAAGTTAGGCCAAATGGGAGAGCAATATATTCGTAATGGACGTTGTTGTAACAGAAACGAAAGAATTTGAAATGCGAGGGGCTAATTGGGATATGTAACTAAGCTTCCGTGAGATCTATGAAGGTAAGGACATTGTTTTTTCTGATGCTGAGTAAGATGGATTGGAGAGTGGTCATTTTAAATTTTTGGTAAACTAAATATTGGTTTAGACGTTTTAAGTCCAGGATTGCCCTCCATCCCCCCGAACATTTTAAGAGACCACTAAGAGGTGCGAATAAAAACCAAGACTTTTTTGATTAGAAGGGACAGGTTGTATGGCCCAGATTTCTAATAGATGTGCTATGGCTATTACCATGAGAAACCTTTTTTCTGCATCCCTGGAAACTGGGGACTTCATAAAAAAATCTGAGGGGTGGAACTGAACTCCAGTGCCAGACCAAATCGTACTGTGTTCCTGACCCATGCATCAGTGGTAGAGGAGTCCCATTGGTTGGCAAACATTTTTAGGTGACCGCCAATGGGAATCTCGTTGTGGTCGTTACTTGGACCTGCGGAAAGGCCCTAGATCCTGTTCCTCGAAATTGTCTCCTAGGATGGAGTCCCCTTCTGTATCTGTCCCCAGGTTCAATTCTGTCTGTTGTCTGAATCCAGGCTGTCTTTGAAATCTTGGATAGTAGGGTTGGTAGAAGGGGTGAAAGGAACACCTACAAAAGGGCTGGACTCTGACTGACAAAAAAGAGAGGGAAGAATTTTCTTTTTGGTTCTCGTTTCAATTAGGAAGGGTTCAAGCGCACTGCCAAATAGTTTGTTCTCCGAGATGGGAGCTGAGGCAAGCCGCCAGTTGTGCTTGATGTCTGCCTACCAATGCCTGAGCCAAAGTAACTTTCTAGCCACAATTTGGGAAGCAATGGCCCTAGAAGAAAATTTAACTACATTGAAGGTAGCGTCTGCCGAAAAAACTGCAGCAGCGTTTAATTTAGACACATCTTGATGTGCCCTACTGTTTGAGGCTGGAATGGTATCTCTCAGGTGGCAGAGCCATCTGAGAAATGATCTGGTGAAAAAGGAGGCAGCTGTGGCCGCTCTGATGGCCCATGCATCTGAGATGTGTGCCCTGCGGAGGGCTAGTTCTGCCCTCTTTTCCTCAGACTTGAGAGGAACTCTTCAGAGACCTCTTCAGCTTCACTTGGGATGGCTGAGGAAGATGTAAGCGCAATGATAGGCTCGTCCACTTCCGGAGAGTTTAGAAATTTAGAGAACTCGGGTGCCAAATTATAGTATTTTCTATCATGTCCTGGGGGAGCGGGATATGAGGCTTCTGCAGCCCATTGTTTTTTTACTAAATTGGAAAACATGTGTGGCACAGGGATAACCTCTGCCTCAGTGACTGATTGAGAGAATATGAGATCCTCTGCCTCACCTGGAGTATTTGATGGGGGAGGGGTACCCGTATTATCCAGCCATGCAGTGTTCTTGGCCTTAAACAGCAGGGATTTAAATAATTGTGGGCGGAATAATCCTGTAAATACGGGGAGGTCAGGTGAGAAGCCTTCATCGTCAGACATCCCCCTATCTAGCGGATCCACCTCTGACAATACTTGGTCAACGGTGTGTACATTTGATCCATTGGATCCCCTTGATCTCTCATGTCCTGTGTGTACTGAGGTTCTCTGACAGTGGGCAAGGATAGTTCTGGGGGGGGGGGGGGGACCTGATGAAGATGTGGATCTGTGATGCCCAGAGATCATTCAGAAAGAGATCCGCAAACCGAAGTTGAGAGTGTTCGTCCTGCCTGAATAGCCTGTTGGACACCTGCTGATATGCCCTTCTGGATAGCTAGCTCCATCCATGCCCTCATGTTGGCAGGGATTTCCTCCGGAAGTTCCTCGTCTTATTTGAGTCCAGCTGCAGTTGGCGTGAATGTTGCCTCTGGGCCCCTCCTTGAGGAGAGAATGTTAGAAAGAGCCTCCTGGGGAGGTTGTACCGATATGCTGCTCCTTCTGGATAAATCCAGAGGGGCGGTTGGAGGGTTCTGGGCCTGTGAGGTAGAGGGTATGATGAGTGGTCAAGAGGTGGGTTGTGCAGCTGCTTGTGTACGTTTTTCCATCTGCCTTTCTAATGCCTGATGGTGTCTGTGTGCATATTTCTCTTCTGCCTTAGAGGTCTTTTTGGGCTCTTTGGACTTATCTCTATTTTTAGCAGTTAGTTTAGATCTGGAGTTGTAGCTGCTGGCCATGGTAATGCCTTTGATAGCAATGGAAAGAGGCTATGAAATTAGGTGGCAGGAACACCTAGGGGCCTGCTCCCTTACGGGGCATGGGATCCTGGAATAAATAGTTCCTCGATGCCTTTAACAAATGTTGTCTCCTTGTTCTTTTTGCTTTGTTATCTATCTATCTATCTATCTATCTATCTATCTATCTATCTATCTATCTATCT